GAGCGGCGCGGTGGGCTGCGGCGATCGCGGCGTTTGAGGTCCGCCCCGGCGCCCTGCCTCCCCCTCGTCGGCCGGCCGCCTCACCTGGGTCCAGCCTTCCCGCTCACGCTGCCGGGACGCGTGGAGCTTGGCTTTCAGACACCCAGGAAAAGGTGCCTACGGAATGCATCACCTGGCACCCAGCCCAGAGGACCCTCCGCCGACACACCCGGACACTTAGGTGACAGCTGAACGTGACCCCCCTTCTTGAGTTGCTAGTTTATTCGGACGGCTGTAGGAACCCCAAGGGTTCGCCCTGATCCTTAAGTTTGTTTTTTATACAGTCTCCTCATTGAAAAATTTGGCTTTGGGTCCTGCACGCGCCTGAGACCTTTCTTAGGTCTCGGCCCTTAATTAAATTTTTTTTCATAGATTCAGAAATACATTGGACGGACTTTTCCTCCCAAGAGCCCTGGAGGCCTCAATATTTTAAAATCAAACAGAAGATTGTCTTATGGTAGAGGAAGGACATAACTTACCCAGAGAAATGTACTGTTGAGTTTCTTTCTTTTAATATAGACTTCTTGTGCTAGAGACATACTCAAATGGTAAACAACCTAGCAAACCTGAGATCCTGAGTCCAAACCTCAGTACTTGAAAGAAAAAAGAAGCAGCAGCAAAGACAGAGCAGGACGTGTAGCACAGTAAAGTATTTGTCAGATTCTCAGTGTTATATACACACACACTTCTTAAGTAACATTGAGGGGAAATGCTGATTTTCAGAGGTTTTAAATTTCATAACCGAGATGTTCAGTTTTTTGCTTCATAGTGGTGTTATTTCCTTTTGACTTAGGGAGAGAGAATTATGATTGTTCCCCCATTCTGCTTCACTGCTGGGAATGGAACACAGGGCCTTGCACAAACTGTGCTATGCCACTGAGCTAGCTCCCTAGCCCTGGGCTTCTTGAGATACAGTCTCCATGTGTAACCTACACTGGCCTTGGGTTCCTAAACCTATGTCAGCCACTCCAGTATTGGAATTACAAATGAGTGCCACCATGCCCAACAGTGTTAATAGTTCACTTGATTGTGGTTGCAGTTGTTTGAATAATACAATGACAAAACTCAGTACATTTTTTTCATTGAGGCCCCGATACTATAAATAAAGGAAATGCCCAGTTCACTTGAAAGATGGATTTTTTAAAAATCAGCGTTGAGGTCTTTTAAAAAAAAAAAAAAAACTTGGTTGGTATACTTTCCATTTAATTTTCTTAAGGGTTGTGGTTTTGCATCTTGTGTTCTTTTTGCCCTTTTGAAGTAATTTTTCATATACTGCCATGACAAAGTAATTCTGCAGATTATTTTATGGTTGTTTAAAGTTATTTTTCTTAAGAGTCTTAGCTCTCTCAGTTAAATTGACTGAGAAGGGGAAATACAGTCTTGTCTTTTAGCTTTGAAGTGATAACTTTAGTTGGGAAATACCAAGTGACATTGCTAGTTTCCTATCACAGTCTGGTCTGCTATAGGTTTATAGCAGCACCATTCAAAATGAATAGACTGCAAGCCCCTAGAGTATTAAATTTTTCCAGGAGTCACATCACCAAGTAAAAAGAAACAGGTAAAATTAATTTTTACTAATGTTGTATATTTGATCCTATGTATATCACTTCAAAATGTAATTGATTAAAATTAAAAATGAGGAATTAAAACATGTTAAATCTGCAAACTCTCAGCCTGGCCACCTTGCAGGTGTTCAGTTGACACAGGTGGCCTTCGCTGACCTCAGTGAGCAGCCCTTGTGTATAGGATTGCCATTTGATGCTCAAAATACCTTTTTTTCTGGCAGGGACTGGGGGAGTGAATTTAAAACCTTTTCTCTCACACACACACATACACACACATACACACACACTCTTCCCCTCCCTCTCTCTCTCTCTCTCTCTCTCTCTCTCTCTCTCTCTCTCTTGCCTCTCTCTCTCTCTTTTTCTTCCTCTCCTATGTTTCTCTAATGAGCACTAGTGCCTGGCATCTGTGTAGTGAGGATCAAGAGATGAGTGGAGGCTCAGGCATTTCCTGGAATGTCATTGTTACCGTCCTTTGTATCTGTATGTCAACAACCAGTCACTGCAGTGTATGAGTCTTTGTTTGCTAAGCCCACTGGCATTTTGTAAAGACAACTTGAAGACCTACACAGCACTGGACCTTTGAGGAACAGGTAGTGTATCTGTTGTACTTCTTTCTAGCACTAGTTTCAGATATGGCTCATTTGGGAAATGTGCTTATTTGTATCCTGGTCTTTCTTGTCAAAGGCAAGGTTTTTTAATTTGTTTAAAAGAAAAGGAAAAGGTATGTCTTATGTCACTTTCCTGGGAACTGGGTTTTTGTGTGGTGGTTTAGGGGCCGTTTGCAAGGAGATATGAGGGTAGAGATTTGCCTGGAGCCGTCTGTGCTTTAGAGCTCAGGGAACCCTGACGCTGTTGACCCCTTTGAGGTTCCATCAGACCCATCATGGTTCCTATGCTCCAGGAATTAGGATACATTTCCTTAAATACTACTTTAGTTGGAATGTGTTACAGTTTAACCCAGTGTCAAAATTAGCCTGAAGGCCTAATTTATAATCGTTTAAAACAAGAACCATGCATCATTCCAAACTTTTACAGTAGTAAAGAAATTTTAAATGACCTGGCCATAAACAGACTCTGTAAAACCTGGTCTTCATAGTCCTGACACAGTGTCAGTCAGACTGTGGAGTACTGTAGGATGGAAAGTAGACTGAGGAGGGCTTGCAGTTATTGCATGTCCTTGCTTTGCAAGAGATATGTACATAGCCTGTTTTATAAGAGAGTGTCGCTTGCATTTTGGATAAGAAAGAGGGTACTGGTCAAGGTTGCAGGGAGGAAATGAGAAGATAGAGGTGAGGATACAAAGAATCATACACCTAGGACTAACTAGTAGAAAGACATATTGCAGGGTAGGAGGGCTGTAGTTAATAACAAATGACAGCTGCTCTGCCACACTGGGATGGTTGACCTTGTGAAATGATGGATATATTGCTATGTTCCTCTGGAGTAACCATATACATATATATAAATATGTACATATCTTATAGCATATTGAATAGATTAAATGCACGTGGTGAATTTTATTTTTTATTTTTGGGGCTTGAACTCAGGGCCTGGATGATATCCTTCAGTTTTTGTGCTCAAGGCTAGTACTCTACCACTTGGAGCCACAGCTCCATTTCCACCTTTCTGGTAGTTAACTAGAGATAAGAGTCTCATGGACTTTCCTGCGTGGGCTACTTTGCTCAGACCTCAGCCTCTTGAGTAGCTAGGATTACAGGCATGAGCCATCAGTGCCCGGCATGATATTTACTTTTTTTAAAACAGCAGTTGGGATGCACAGGCAGAGGGATGGTGAATTACAGGCCAGCTTGGACTGTATAAGGACATGGGGGAAAGTGAGACAGAGAAGAAAGGAACTTTGAGAACAGGCGTACACATTTGTTGTCCACACTACTCCAGAGGATAATTTGAGCCTAGCACAACATAAATTCACCATTAGAAATTTAATGACTACCAATTAGGACAGTAATTTTAGTTGTTTAGGAGAAAAAAAAAAAGCAGAAAGTCTAGCAAGTCAAAGTCTTTGAAGAAAGAGGCTTTCCAAGGTTGAAAGAATATCCAAAAGATTCTGGGTTTTTGTTTGGTTTTTCTGGTACTAGGGCTTGAACCCAAGGCCTTATGCTAACATTTGAGCCACAGCTCTTCTGGCTTGTTGGTGGTTACTTAGAGAAAGAATGTCATGGACTTTCCTATCTGGGCTGGATTTGAACTGGGATCCTCAGATTTCAGTCTCTTGTAACTAGGATTACAGGTGTGAGCCACCAGCACCAGGCTAAGGGTTCTGTTCTTACTAAGGAATTCTAACTTCTATATGTGGATCTTAAGGTGCTCTGTGGTCTCCTTTCCCAACTTAGTGCCTTCAAAAAGTCACATAAGGGGCTGGGAATGTGGCCTAGCATGTATGAAGCCCTGAGTTCGATTCCTCAGTACCACATAAACAAAAAAAGCCAGAAATGGCACTGAGGCTCAAGTGGTAAAATGCTAGCCTTGAGCAAAAGAAGCTCAGGGACAGTGCCCAAGCCCTGAGTTCAAGCCCCAAGACTGGCAAAAAAAAAAAAAAATCACAGGAAATAGATCAAGAAAATGTGGTATATACACAATTGAATTTTATGTTTCCATCAGAAAGAATGACATCACCCCATTTGCAAAGAAATGGAAGGGCTTGGAAAAAATCGTATTAAGTGAAGTAAGGCAGATCTAAAGAAACAGGCTGCCTGGTTTCCTTCATTTGTAATAATGAGTATTTGTCTAGGAGAGGATCACAATAGCTCAATAGCAATGTACATATGCTGATCGAAATGAGTGACAAGATATGGAAACAAGAGGGTTTTTTCCTTTAGTGTACTGTATGCAGTTATTTTTTTCTTTCATTTTTTTCCTTTACCCTCAGTTGTCACTGTTTTTTATTTTGATACCCTTTGTATTATATATAAATGCATCTGCTTTGGGGATGGGAATGGGAATCACAGAAATGGTGAGACAAAGGACAAAGGGTTAACCAATGCAACAGTGATACAAGACGCTATGATGGAAATGAACTTTACAACTTGGGGAGTAGGGAGAATGGGAGAAATGAGGGAGGGGGTAACAATGTTCGACAAGAATTGTACGCATTTCTCTAGCATTTCTCTACTTACGTAATTGTAACCCCTCTGTACATTACCTTTACAATAAGAAAACAAAGTAACATGTATACTGGCTTTGCTTTAGCAATTGTACCTATGAGGATATTTTCCTTTCCACAAGGGAATACTTTTGTTTTTTCAGGTAATTGAAATGATTCATGTATAATAGTCTTTAAAGACATACATAATTTTAACAACTGAATTTCAGGGTAGCTTAGGGTTTCTTAAAATGTTTAGTCTTGAGACTACTTTTTTAGCATACTTGGAGAGAGGAATGTTTTGCCGTGACACCACTCCACACTACATCTCTTAGGACTTCCTGTTTTCCTCATTAGCCATGTGGAAGGAAAGATAGACACTGTGCCTGTCAGAATACTGCTGACTGAAGATTTTTTCCATAAGATTGTAGAAAGAATTCTAAGAACAGTAAATGGTAAGTTTAGCAACTTTTATCGCCCATTGAGCATGTAACATTTTAATGGACATTATCTACCAACTACATTTATTAACAGTGTGCTGAAATTACTACACCAAATACCCACGTTGAACTCAGGCCTTCACTTGGCTTTTTCTTCACAACTGGTGCTCTCCCACTTGGGCCATACCTCTGCATTTGGCTGTTTGCTAGAGACCGCAGTCTCTCAGATTTGTTTGCCTAGGCTAGCTTCAGACCCAGTAGCTAAAATATAAGTGTGAGTCACCTGGGCCAGTTTTTGTACATGTATGTCTCATTCTGGAATTAAACTCAGGGCCTGGGTGTAGTCCCTGAGTTTTTTTTTTGTTCAAAGCTAATACTCTTACCACTTGAACTACCACTCTACTTCTGGCTTTTTTGATAGTTAATTGGAAATAAGTGTCTCACATTCTACTACTTGAACCACAGATCCACTTACTTCTTTTTTAGTATTTTATTGGAGATAAAAATCTCACAGACTTTCCTACCTGGGCTATCTCTGAATCATGATCCTCAGATCTCAGCCTCCTGAATAGCAAGGATTATAGGTGTGAGCCTCTGGGGCCTGGCTCTTTTTTGGGACAAGGTCTTGCTATGTGACCGAGGTTACCCTAGAACTTGAGCTACCTCCTGCCTCAGCATTCCAAGTTTTGGACATATAGATATACACCACCAAACCCAGAATCACCTTCTAGATTTTGAAGTAACAACTTCTCTAAAATACATGAACTTTACAATGACAGAATGCTGTTGTTCCTGATATTTGAGAGTATTGATCGAAGGCTAAATTTACTTCTTACCATATGACCTAATCTTCAATACTATTTTTGCATTATTTAAGACTTTTTGATGAGGACTTACTGCTCTGAGAATGTATTTTGTATGTAAAAGTCTAATGGAATTATTCATTTTTACTTTATGATGCCACAAAGATTATTTTGCATTTCTTTCATTTATGGGAAAGATTTATTTAAAATAGTAAATTACAAGGATTCATATTCAGTAGCTCATATCATTTCCTTCTTCAGATTCAGCTCAGATTTAAAAAACAAAAAAGGAGTGGAAGTTTATAGAAAATGCTGACTAGAAAATTACAAAAATTGGTGGGGTTTTTTCTGTGTTGTAGTGGTATGGATTGAACTCAGGGATTTGTGCAAGCTAATCAACCATTCTTACCACTGAGCTAATCTCTCCCTGGACTTCCAGGCGTGGGACTTGAACTCAGGGCCTGGGCATTGTCCCTGAGCTTTTCACTCAAGACTACCACTGAACCACTTTGAGCCACAGCTCTACTTGCATCTTTTTTTGTAACATATTGGAGGTAAGTAAGAATCTCACAGACTGACTTGGAATCATGGTCCTCAAATCTCAGCCTCCTAAGTAGCTTGAATTACAGGTGTGAGCCACCAGCGCCCTCTAGATTCTTTTTGCTCCAGTTATTTTTAGGTTTGTTGTGGAGTTCTTGCTTTGCCAGGCCAATTAGTTAAGCATTGATTGAGTAAGCACCATAGAAAGCCAAAATTAGAAGTAATGTCATGTGTCTTCCCTATTTCTATCACACTGACAAAAAACAAACAAACATGATTTGAAACTAAAGGTCTTTTCAAGCCTTAGATTCTGTTGGTTGTGGCTTAAAAATTATTTCAGGATTCTTTGAGGGGAAAAATAAGGCATCTGAATCCAGATAGACTGAACGTGTTTGGCCTCAGGAAATTATTTCTTCCCTAAATGGACTGATTTTTTTTCTCTCCGTATGTTATTACTTGGACAAAACTAAAGAAGATGATGTGGCTACTAATAGCTTCAGATGTAACCATCTGCCAATCTTTTACCTTCAGTTGAGACATAGAAATTGTGAAATTGTAAAGACATAGAAATTGTGAAATTGTAAATTTCAAATTTCTGTGAACAGTTTAAAGCATGAATCTAGCCCTCCTGAAATAGACAACATTTCTAATTAGTATTGTTTGTTACCTAAATAAAAATGGTTAGAAAGTATTGCTGGAGGCATGGCTCAAGTAAGTGACAGAGTATCTGTTTAACATGTACTTTTCTCTTGATATAATCCCCAGTGCCTCAAATAAAACAAAATGGAATATCCAGATTGCCAAGAATGCTTGTTCCTGAAGACATCCTTGAACACATTTGATTTTAAAAACTGGCTTCTGTTTTGTTTCTTGGGTGGGGGTGGGGGGTAGTCCTGGGACTTGTACTCAGGGCATGGGCACTGTCCCTGAACCTTTTCACTCAGGACTAGCACTCTCGCTTGATCCACAGTTCCACTTCCAGCTTTTTGGTAGTTAATTGGAGATAAGAGTTTCACATGGGCTGGGATGTAGCTCAGTGGCAAAGCGCTTGCCTAGCAAGTACAACGTCCTGGGTTCCATCCCCATACCAAAAAAGAAAAGACAAAAAAAAAATACAGTTAAAAAAAAAAAAAACCCAAACAAGAGTTTCACAGACTTTCCTGCCTGGGCTGGCTTCAAACCATGATCCGAATAGCTCAGCCTGCTGAGTAGGATTACAGGCGTGAGCCACCAGCACCTGGTGATGTTTTGTCTTTGTGTTTTTTTTTTAAGCTTATGGAGGAGTGGATTTCATTGCCAGATTTCCACACATACTTACAATGTATTCCAATCAACCTCCTTTATGAGTCTCCTTGACCTCCTCCCTTAGCAAAACCATTTTTAACAGATTTCACTGTTGTGTTTTCATAGTTGTAAACAATCTATTTTTAGCACATTTATCATCTTCCGCCCTTCTTGGTGGCCCCTCCCTATTTTCTCTCTTTAAATAAAAGGTTGCATACCTCTGCACATAAGAGAGGAAAAGAAAGATTAGATGGATTACTGTTTTTGCACTGCTCAGGTGTGCCCCCAAGGTGGTTTTGAGCTGCCAGTTTCACATATCTAATGCACTGTAAAAGCAGACTCTGTATATATATTATCATGAATGGAGAGAGCTCCATGACTAAAAGCAGGGCTGAGGAAAATGAAACAGGCAACTACTTCCTTCATTCCATTTATCTGCCTCAAGGGTGTATGGGGCACAAGGCACATAGCTTCTGTCATAATTTTTTTTTAAGGTGCATTCTCTGCATAATAAAACCTGTACTTGATACTTCTTGCTTGGAATCAGTACCTTCGCATTTAATTATCTTGTTTTTTTCCTTTTAGTTTTGTTTTCTCTTTTATCCTATTTTTACCCACTTTGCTTATGTTACTGAATGTTTTATGACTATTCTCTACTAAAGGAA